GAATAGCATGTTCCTAGAATCAGTGTCGACGAATCGACTTCCTCAACTTTCTCAACTTCTACAGGATGCCGAATCTACTTGAGTATTTACACACTCAAGGGGGAGTGTTGTAAACTTCTAGCTTAATTGTGATTGTATAAATTCTAAATTATATTTAATTCTAGTTATTCTTTCATATATTGACTTGTATTTCTTGGAAGAGAGGGATTTCTTCTCTCTTTTATTACTATAAATAAAGGTACTGCGTAGGGGAATAATATATCCTCTACACAACCCTATGAACACATCTGTCTTTATTCTCTCTGTACCGTCGGCCCCCTTTCCCTGTCAATTAAATATAAGCCACAACAAATCGTTGTTTCTAGGGATATGTTACCATTTTTTATTTGTTAATTATTACTCCATTTTTGAACGATGTGCCTTTGATATTTGATTTGATTTGATATATGATATCTGACTTTTTGCCATTGTCTATCAAATATGAGAAAGTATATAATTTATTTATCTAAAAATCAAGGAAAACTTTACTAATCATTGAGCAATGGATAAAGAAGGTGATATGCATACGTTCGTGGCAAAACCTCGTCCCCATTGACCAATCCGAAAACAATCATTTGGTGGAGTGAAGTGAAGTGAAGTGAAATGATAGACTTTGACACAAACATGCAAAGTAAGACGGACGCCACAAATTGAAGTGCAGATCTCTTGACTTAAAAAGGGTACACGCACGCACATAGTCTCCATGCTAGCTAGATGATCAAAGAACGAAGATACATGGAAGACGATGATATATAAATAGGTTCATATTAAAATACTAGATTAGAGAAATTATGTTTGCACGACGTTTTGTCTTTGGTGATTTGGAAGAAACCTCATTATATTCAATTTTTTAAATGAAAACAATCAATTTGTGATATGCACGTTGAAAGTACTAACATTGAAAAGCCATTGATAGAGAGCAAAGATGAACCACAAACTGCAGCAACAAGCAAATATCTTCTCTCTGTGTACATGCCTTATGCACTCCTCTTTATGGGGTAGGGTTTTGTGGTAGAATAATGTGTATAAGAGTGGGGCCTAAGCCTTATTTTATTGGTCAAAGTATTAGGTTTCTTGCTCATAGGGAAAGTCATAATACATATTTTTAGCACCGTCAAAATCCATGACCTAATAGGATAGATATCTTGTTAATTATTGATTTACTTAACCGTTAAATAATCTAAGATAATCAAATATTACTTCTTATTTTATATTCTTAATCAATTAGGGTTCTTGAATAGAGGTAAGCCAAATAAAACTCTTAAATGAATTAACCTCTACTCCAAAAGTAATAACTAAAAAAATTAGTAAAATAAATGGTGTTGCATCCTCAATTTCTTTCCAAATTTAGGTGTGATATCTTTTGAACCGTAATTTTATTGGAAAAAAAATATATTGTTAAAAAAGAAAAAGTAAAAGTAAATTACATTGCATTTACATACTGTTAGTTCGTACATATTGGTTGCAAAAATGTTCCTACGTGCCCTAAAATTTTAAATTCGAAAATTTTAATGAATTACAATTGATAGCCAAAGGACCCAGTCCCTTCCAGCCATGCATATAAGCCTAGCTGTTGTTGAAATATTGGACCCAACAAAACCAACAAAACACCCAGATCATACAAAACCTAACTTTACATTGGCATGTGGACGTGGTCTTCATATCATAAACCCCAAATACAATATTCTATTGTTTAAATACAACAAAAAACAAAGTCCACACATTGTGGTATAAATATAAAATATTTAATATATATATATATATATATATACTATTATTAAAAAAATCCTCATTGTCAACTTTTTTCTCTTTTTTTTTCCTATTTTGCCCTCACTTTTGATACACATTATTGACAAAAGGAGAGCAAAATAGTAATTTTGTACCTTTTGACAAAATGACAATCATATCCTTATTTTTCCTATTTTACCCTTTTTTTAATACTTATTTTTTCAGTTTTACCCTCACTGTTGATATACAATATTTACATTACTGATCATGATTTTATTTTAAAATGAAAAACCAAATTGTTGTTTCGTCCTCTTTTGATTGACAAAGAGAGTTTTGTTATATATAAGTTATAAGAGGAAGATAACTCAAATGAATTGAATAAAAAGACCGTAACCACAAACAATCCACCACTTATTATTTCAGTTTTTTGTTGTCAATATGATTGGGTTTTTTTTTTATTTTTTATTTTTATTTTTATTTTGTAAACTTGTCCATTCGTTTATATATTTTTTTAACGTATTATGCCAACTAATTATTGATCATGCATGAGAGTGACTTGAGCTTTCGTTGGCCAAATTATTTTCCTTTGATTCATTTTAAGGGGGCAAAAAAAGGCAACAAATCTAGGACCATTGTGTCGATGTGAAAAGCCAAAAGATTGGCTCTGCTTGCATGCCATGCAAAAAGATACACAAATTATACTAGAAATTATGTGCAAAAGGGTTTCTTTAATTTACTTCACATTACCTTTTGACAAAATGACAATCATATCCCTATTTTTCCTATTTTACTCTCTTTTTATACTTATTTTTCCAATTTTACCTTGACTTTTGATACACAATATTTACATTACTGGTAATGATTTTATTTTAAAATAAAAGGCCAAATTGTTCTTTCATCATCTTTTGATTGACAAAGAGAGTTTTGTTACATGTAGGTTATAAGAGGAAGACAATTCAAATCCCAAAGACTAGATTGAATAAGAAGAACGTAACCACAAACAATCCACCACTTATTATTTCAGTTTTCTATTGTCAATATGATTGGGTTTTTTTTTTTTTTTTTTTTTTTTTTTTGGTTTTGTAAGTAAACTTGTCCATTCGTTTATATATACTTTTTAACGTATTATGCCAACTAATTATTGATCATGCATGAAAGTGACTTGAGCTTTCGTTGGCCAAATTATTTTCCTTTGATTCATTTTATGGGGGCAAAAAAAGGCAACAAATCTAGGACCATTGTGTCAATGTGAAAAGCCAAAAGATTGGCTCTGCTTGCATGCCATGTAAAAAGATACACAAATTATACAAGAAATTATATGCAAAAGGGTTTCTTTAATTTACTTCACATTCCCATACGAATTTTATACTTGAGAAATTACGAGCAATGTGAAGTCCAGCCAGGACTAAATCTAAATGGGGTGTCCCCCAAATGGACGTTTGAATTATAACAAGACTTGGATGCTGAAGAATCAGCAGCCCCTCCTGCTGAGAGCCAATCACGGTTGGATATGTGTCCAAATTGTAATTTTTTTAATCACAACTTGAACACGTGTCGCGCCGTGATAGGCTCTCAGCAGGAGGGACTGCTGATTCTTTCAACAGCGAAGTTAAATCCTTTGAATTATAGACACATGCAATTGTCCCATCACAAAATTCAATTCTGCAAATTTATAAAATTAAAAGAGAAAAAGAACCAAATTAATACCAAAGTCACTGAAAAAAGAAATACTTCATTTGGTGGTTGATGATACTAAAATTTGATTGCATTCATTTGTTGCTTCTTGTATCAGAGTCGTCTCTAAGGATTAGGGGGTCCTGTTAAATGGTGTCCTTCTTGTAGAATTATTAGAGAGACGGGTCAAAGGTTCACTTCCAACAATACTGATATTATCCTTAACTTGGTAATTATCACCTGCACAATCCGTCAGTTGTGGAGTTTTATCACAAAAGGTCTCGATGTTAGTTGGAGTGGGGTTGAGATATTTAAACTCTTTTTTCTTATTGATATGGTGGATATGGGACATTTCAACACGCCCCCTCACATGAGACCCAATTAGTGGGCCACACGTGGAAGATCCACACATCGACAACCATATGGGGTCAAGGGGACTCACCCTATACACAGGGCCAAGAAACCCACCATCATTGTGCGGGGCCAAGGGACCCATCCATCACGTGGTAATACAGTACGAGCCCGCTCCCTGACTCTGATACCATGTAGAATTATTAGAGAGACGATCAAAAGGCCCACTTCCAACAACACTGATACTATCCCTAACTTGGTAATTACCACCTGCATAATCTGTCAGGTGTGGGGTTTTATCACAAAATGCCTCAGTGTTAGTTGGAATAGGGTTATGATATTTAAACTCTTCTTTTCTTATTGATACGGTTGATGTAGGACATTTCAACACTTCTTAATATAATCTTTTAAAAAGTACTGATAAATTTTTGTTTTAGACATTAAACAAGAGAAATGAAAAACACACACTCTTTTAGTCATGTTTGAGAAGCTAAAAATTTGTGTGAAAATCAACTGCCAATAAACAAATCTATTATGAAAACTAACACATCCTTTAAAACAAAAACTCATGATCAATTAAGAAACACTCAAGTCAAATTAATAATAACAGTAAAAACATAAAACACCTAAATTTACTATGTCAACTCAATCAACAATCGTGTTATAATATTTTTTAAATGCTTTACATGAACCGAATTGTTAGCATTTCAGTCCAAGTAATTGAACGATCTCATTTATTTGAGGATTCACTTAAGATCAGTATTATGAGTTATGGACTTATGAGAGACAAATATTCCATATTATTTTCCCTCTTAGGCGATTTTCTGTTTATTTATTATTGAAGAAATTATTTATTGTATAATATATCTGTGGGGTGCAAAAATATCGGGGACCCCTGTTCAACTGGGGGCCTCTGCAATGGTTCCTATTGCTCTCCCTCAAAGTCGGCACTATCTCGTACTTATCACGTCCACAAATTGGTCAATATAATCACTATCGAAGTGGCTAATAAAACCGGTACTGTTTTATCTTGGAAAAAGTTATGCATATGTAGTAGTACTCGACCCACACTAACATTAATGTCCAACCCAACACACCGATATCGGTACCTCGCAACTTATTGCTGTGTGGGAATTGGGATGGTGATGGTTTCAATTGTGAAAAGCTGATAAATAAATTAATCATAAATAATAATAATAATAATAAAAACTAAATCATATATCATGCGTTGCTTCTTTCGTGAACTCATTCTTCCCTTATATAAGTGCTCATTTTATGTTCTGACAGCCATATATTGGCATGAAAAATGGAGAAGCTCAAGAACTCTACAATCTTCACCACCTGCCTTTTTCTCTTCCTCCTTGCCACACCTTGCTTTTCCAAAGGTTTGAATCAAAAGAAAATAGTTTCCGCATGTGTTTTTTCTCCGTACATTCTTGTTTATTTCTGTCTTTTGATTTGTTCAATCTAAATATCAGAAATCAACAAGATGTATAAACGGAGAAAATGGTGAGTGGAATCACTCTCCTAAATTAATTTGAATTGTGTGGTAAAATGCTCATATGTAATTAAGTCTACTAATTTGTAAATTTTTTTGGTGGTTTGTGTTCTAGTAGGTGAATCGGATTTGATGGATACTGAGGTTTATGAAATCGATTATAGAGGTCCGGAGACTCACTCATCAGTTCCACCACCTGGTCACTCTCATGGGAAGAAGCGTTTGCCTTTGATCCACAAAGAAAATGCGATGGCAACCCCAAAACCTAAGAGCATTGAAGGTGCTAACATGGGAAGAAAGGTAAGAGCTCATGCACTTACATAGATTAGTTGGATTAGCTCTTTTAATTTTTATATCAAGTTCTTTTTGGGGCGAGTGATATTTTAATTAATCTAAGATAAATTATAGAGAGGAGGATTCAAATTTGAGTGAAAATTCAGAGCGCTGATTTAGCCAACTTGATTGATACCTGTCTTGCAGCACTTTTTAATTTAGGAGGTTTTAGGAATTAGTTTTATGGGAAAACATAAATATTGGATCACTTTGATTTCACAAGCTCCTTATATACTTTTAAAGGTAAAGTACAAAAAATGACCTTAACTATTGGTGCCACGACACTTTCATACTTTATCTTTTAAAATTGACAATGTCATACCTCATCTGTAGAATTTGGTCCAATGTTATACCTTCCGTTACTTGGCCGTTTACTTTTCAGTTAAATGCTGACATGGCTTGATTCGGGGCCCACTTTCTATTAAAAAATTAATAAACTATTATTAAAAACTAAAAAAATTATTTAATATTTTTTAAAGATTAAAAGAAAAGTATTAAAAAAAAAAAAAAAAAAAAACCCTCAGTAACCCCCCCCCTCCCCCCCCCCCCCCCCGCGAAGAAGAAAAGGAAGAAGAAGGAGGAGGAAGAAGAAGGAGAAGAAGAAGAAGGTCACGAAGGTTCCTAATTCCACCTCATTGGGATCTGGGTTTTTTTTTATTTATTTTTTAATTTTCTTCTTCTTCTTCTTCCTCCTCCTTCTTCCTCTTTCTTCTTTTGCAGATTTGGGTTTTCTTTTTTTTGTTCTTCTTCTTATTCTTCCTTCTTCTTCCTCCTTCTTTTCTTTTTTTTTTGGGTTGCAGGAAGGGGACAGGAAGGGGACTGGAAGGGAGAAGAAGATGAAGATGGGGAGAAGAGAGAGAAGAGGGGCGGAGGGGGGGGGAAGGGGTACGAACATAAGGGTTATATATATATATATATATATATATATATAATTTTAACTTTTTTTTATTATTTTAATATTTAAAAATTATTAAATGATTTTTTTTTAGTTTTTAATAATATTTATTAATTTTTTAATAGAAAGTGGGATCCAGATCAAGCCACGTCAGCATTTAACTGAAAAGTTAACGGCCAAGTAACGAAAGGTATAACATTGGACCAAATTCTAAAGATGAGGTATGACATTGTCAATTTTAAAAGATGAGGAATGAAATTGTCGTGACACCAATAGTTGAGGTAGTTTTTTGTACTTTATCCTAAAACTTTTGATAACTTAATTTGCATGATATTTTATGTTTTTATATAATTTTTTTTGTTTGTTCTGGACTCTTATGTTGTAATTTGCTTTGCAGGTGAAGAAAGTACATGGATGAAGATACTGATCTGGACAGTGTGAGTAGTGATAGTTTTGGTTCTCAATTTGGTCCCTTTTAGTATACATATCAATTCTAAATATGTATTAATATATAGATAAATACATATAGCAATCTTTAATTTATTACATGTTTTTATTGCCTTGTGTAAATGAAGGGCTTCAAGATCTTATATATGTTCAGAACAATGAATATATATTATCCTTGTGATTATCATTTATCACGCCTAAGAATTAAAGAAGTCAATCTATAGTTTATCAATCACATGTACTGGAATAGAATTCCTTCACAAATTTAGCAGGTGGTTTTGAGAAACTTTTTATTGTGATCGTTACACCATCATAGATAGATTAAAGGTCATGAACTATTACTAATTTCTGAAGCAACCCCCGCTGCTTGGTCCGGTTGATGGACTGGAAAGCACAACATTACGATAGTTGAATTTGGCAACTCATGTGAGGACTAGCGTGACATGTTTATATTTAGTGGACCTTGCTAAGTTTAAGCGGTATGACAGTTTAGGGTTATGGTTTGAGAATGCCAGTGGGATCGACATATATTATTAGATTTCTCTTATTTCCTGGGTTGGATGAACATTAATTTGCGTTACGGTTTGGTGCATATACCTGTAGAGCAATATATGCATAATGCATGTTGTGAGACACTGGTAATTTGGTAGCATGACTGCATTGCATCTGCATGATAGTAACACATAATTAATTACTACGATTCAGCAGTTGGATGCCGCTTGGGGAACCACAGGACTTGCAGCTAGTTCCTCCAAATTTAATGCTTCCCAATTTTCTCAACCTAGCTATTTAGAGCATCTAAGCAGCGCTAGGATCCGAACATTTTCGAGAGCACTTCTCTCTCTTCGAGAGCTTTTTCCGCCGTCTATGCGAGTCTCACTTCCGTTTCCGGTCTCCCTCTTGTCGTCGGCCCTAGCTATGACTAGGGTTGGTGGCAACCCCCTGTTTTTTCTTTTTCTTTTCTTGTTTTTGTGTTTTTCGCTGCTTTCATTCCCGGTCTCTTGTCCTCCATCCCCTATTCCTGTCAATTTTACCAATCTGAGCTCCAAACTCCGATTCCCTTTCGATCCTTCCATCTTCTTCTCTTCTCACTTTGTTTCCTTCCATCCTTCTCAGAACACTTCGCTCCCTTCCCTCACGAAACCACGTTGTGCACTCCCATCTCTTTACCAGGGTGTGTCACAGGTTTATTGGAAGGTGAGTAGAGCTCTGACTCGGGTGTTCGCATCCACCTCCTTCCTCGTCTTTGCCTTTATTGGCTCTGTCTCCGGTGGGTTGTGTTTTCCCATTGGATTCCTTGGTTTTGTGGGAGTGGCTTTTGTGGTGTTGTTTGCAGGGCGCTAGAGCAATGGTTTCCTTCCTTCCAAGGGTTTTGGTTGGTTGGTTCGCTAGGCGGCTGGTGATGGTGGCTTTGGAGATTTCCGACGACGGCGGTGACTGCACGGTTCTAGGGTGTTCTGGATGTGTCTATGTTTGTACTGGGCCCCACTTGTTCTTGTTTTGAGCTCTTTGGTGTGTGCTTTTGAGGTCCGATGTTTTGTTTTGTACTAGTTAGTGGATCTCTTTGTATCTTTGCTTGGCCTTTGGTCCTGGAATAAAATGTCTAGTTTTCCAAAAAAAAAAAAAAAAAAAGCTATTTAGAGCATCTTCAAAGAAGGTGAGTTTTTCAATGTGTCGGCAAAATAGGCCAGCACACTAAGTGACATAATACAAGTAGTTGAATATTTGAAAAAAAAAAATTCAATCACTTGTGTATGTCATTTAGTGTACCAGGCTGTATACTTGGCATACTGAATAATTTCTCCCAAAGATGTCAAATTTAAAATAGAAAATTTAAATTTGAAAGCCTATGTGGCACTTTTATCATTTTAAAGTTCTTTTCTCCACCAGATATATCAATAAACTATTATTTATTGCATTATATATCTTTTATACTTGTAATAAATATTTTTAAAACAAAAAATAAATAAAAATGATTAAAAAACATTTATTAATCAATTAAAAATGAATTTGAAGTTGTTGTCAATACAGGCCATACTACATAAAAATTGGAATTTTAGTTAAAAAACACTAATATTGTCTTCTTTACTGTTATTACTAATATGAACTTTTTGACATCTCATTTGAAAATGCTCTTTTTGACATCTCATTTGAAAATGCTCTTATAAAACTAGTCCACATTATATCCAATAAATATAATTGTACAAAAAAATATGTTTATATATTAAAAGAATAAAAATGGTGAATCCTTTGGCCCTTCACCACCTTTTGATCCATTTTTTTAGTAAGCAAGCATGGCATGCAACTGTTGAGAAAGAAAGTGAGTAAGCGATGGATTTTTTGGAGAATGATTTAAATAGAACAAACTCATCATTATATGGCATATTGATTTAATCAGGGCAGTCCTTGAGTTTTTTGGTCTTCGGAGTGAATGCTTAAAATGTTTTTTTTTCTTTTTCAAAACACGAATATCTATTAAAAATATATATTTGAAGAGAGGAACCCAGTCGAAGGTTTTTTTTTTTCTTTGGGGTGGGGGGGGGGGGGGTGGTTAAGCCCTTTCACACATATTATATTACTTGAAGAAGAAAAAACATACAACAGGGTGGCATAGTACCTAAAGCCCGACGATCAAAAGCAAAATCATATACAGCGACTCCAAACTCCTTGAAATGTCAACCTTTAAGAAAATTATCTAGAGAGGTTATCTTTAGGATAAGTGAGATTACTTTCTCTAATTGGCTTGTTTTCTACAAGTATTTCTCTCATTTATGCATTAAGATGATCCCAAACTCTTAGATCATAAATGTTTAAAGGGAATACATGTTTTGAAGATTTAATCTTTTCCTCTATATTCAAAATGGTCACACCTGCATTTTTCTCTACATTACCATCATTTTCATGATCATCAGACTCATCACCAACATTTTGTAACTCTTCACCAATATCACTTTCTATCAAATTTTCAACCGACTCATTCTTTATAGAAAAAAGATTATTAAGAGATTCTTTTAAATTGTCGGCAATTTATTTATCCTTTTCTTTTCATATTACCAGACCAACATATCAATTATCAATTTATCACGCATTTCAATTGTAGAAACGGAAATTTACCTGATAACAAACCAAGTTAGCAAACCATGAAACCAATGGCCAATATGAGATTTAGAAGAGAGGGATTTTGTAGTCGGACTGTGAAGCCTTAGAAGAGAGGGGTTTTGGTTGACATAGAGGAGTTTTGCAATTGCCAGTTGGAGCCTCGAACTCAGATGAGAAGGGGTGGTTTTGCAGTTGGAGGAGAGGGGTTTTGCTGTTTGGTCGGAGGGATTGGGAGTCGGGACTCTCAGATTTGGACCATTTGGTCGGTGAGAATCCTTGGATTGGGCTTGGGACCATTGGGTAGGTCGACAAACGATGGTGGCCAAGTGGTGGTGTCGCGAAGAAGACTCAAAGGCTCTGTATTTTCTCTCTTTATCTCAGCTGTAAAGGAAAATTACGTACTTTTTTTATAGACCTATATATCTGCTACTCCAATCAAATTCGGGCTCTAAACAGAGATGTTGTTCGCACTGGGCCAGGATGAGCCTCGATCTAGTAATGTATTGTAATCATATGTAAGTTTTCTCTTTTGTGGCATCGATTTCATTAAGTTTTACCATGCACATCAACAAGAGCCATGAGTAAGAAAGCTTTGACAAGGGAGACCAATCAATAGCATTACCTCTTACTAAATACATACAAGACTGTCTCTTAATATGTATCAAGATTCAAGAGGTGTTGAAGTTGTTGAGTTTTCTAGCCGTTAACTGATAGGGTTTACTGCTAGGGTTCCTAGTTTTTGGGTTGTTAATCACGTAGGAGTCCAATAATCCTTATACTTGAGGGACAAGTTGCATTTTCTTGTTTTGACGTAGTCTTTACCACGATTATAGGACTTGTAAAATCTTGGGCAATTTCTTTCATTTATGATCAAGTGTAAGGCTATTTAATAGCCATGATAATTGCTTTCCATCTAATAAGAATTTTCCCTGGTTTTTGTTAAGCTTTTGAACTTTGCATTACAGATTCTTTGCAAGTTTCTGGTTCCAACATCTAGTACCAGAGCCAAGTTACGGGGCCTGATCGAAAGCTTGCAACCTAGGTGATCGAGTGAAGAAACAAAACCATGGCGTCTAAGAATAGTTTCGTGCAACCAGCTATTCTAAGGCTTGGTGGACACTACGACCATTGGAGTATGTTAATGGAGAATTTCCTTCGTTCCAAAGAGTATTGGAACTTGGTGGAGGTTGGGATCACTACTGCAGGAGGAGGATCGGATTCCGGTGTAGCACAGAAGAAGACTTTAGATGAACTGAAGCTGAAGGATTTGACGGCCAAGAACTATTTGTTCCAAGCCATAGATCGGTCAATATTGGAGGCCATTCTGAAGAAGGACACGGTAAAGGACATATAGGACTCCTTGCAACAGAAATATCAAGGAATTGCACGTGTAAAACGTGCTCAATTGCAGGCTCTTCGCAAGAAGTTTGAGGTGCTGCACATGAAGAATGGAGAAATAGTCAATGACTATTTTGGAAGAACACTTGTCATAGCTAACAAGATGAGAACTCACGGAGAGAAGATGGATGATGTGCTGATCATCGAGAAAATTTTGAGGTCTATGACTTCGAAATACGACTATGTTGTCTGTTTGATTGAGGAATCGAATGACCTAGATATCATATTTATAGACGAACTCCAAGGTAGTCTTTTGGTGCACGAGCAAAGGATAAGCCGACATATGAAGGATGAACAGGCATTCCAAGTTACTCATGGAGTCCAGCAAGGAGGACGAGGTCGAGGAAGTTATCGAAGAAGAGGAAGAGGACGAGGACGAGGAAAGCTAGGGTTCGACAAGTCAACCCTAGAATGCTATAACTGTCATGAACTAGGGCACTTTCAGTGGGAGTGCCCTAAGAAACCTAAGGAAGAGAAGGCGAATTATGCGGAGACAAAGGAAGAGATGCTGTTGATGTCACTTGTGGAGTTCAAGGAGGCAACAATGGAGCACATATGGTTTCTTAACTCTGGGTGCAGCAATCATATGTGTGGCAAGAAAGACCTGTTTAGTGAGTTTGACATCAGTTTCAGAGAATCGGTGAAGCTTGGAAATGATTCAAGTTTGGCTGTGAAAGGCACGGGAAACATGCGAATGGAGGTGAATGGCATTATACATGTGATCACATGTGTGTTCTACGTGCCAGATTTGAAGAATAATTTGTTCAGTATCGGTCAATTGCAAGAGAAGGGACTTATAGTACTTATCCAACATGGAAGGTGCAGGATCTTTCACTTTGAGAGAGGTCTAATCATGGAGACTAAAATGAGTTATAATATAATGTTTGCAGTGTTGGCTCGATGTCCACCAAAGGAACAAAAATGTCTTTCGTCTCAAACCACTGATTAAGCACGACTTTGGCATTGTCGCTATGGGCCTTTTAGTTGGAATGGGCTTCAAGTACTTTAACAGAAGCAAATGGTGGAGGGATTACCTCAGTTCGCAGCCTCTCAAAGGGTGTGTGAAGATTGTTTGGTAGGCAGACAACGCCGAGATCCATTTCCCAACGAAAGTCTATGGAAAGCCTCCAAGGTACTTCAATTGGTGCATGCTGACATATGCGGACCAATTAACCCTATCTCAAACAGCAATAAAAGGTATCTTATCACCTTTATAGACGATTTCAGCAGAAAAACATGGGTTTACTTCTTGGTGGAGAAGTCAGAAGCATTAGGTATGTTCAAATCCTACAAAGCACGGGTAGAGAAAGAAACTGGGGCATTTATAAAAAGCCTGATGACAGATCGAGGAGGAGAATTCACCTCGCATGAGTTTGCAAATTTTTGTCAAGAGAATGAGATTCGTAGGCAATTAACTGCAGCCTATACCCCTCAACAGAACGGTGTGGCAGAAAAGAAGAATCGCACCATCATGAACATGGTGCGAAGCATGTTGCTAGCTAAGCAAATCCCCAAAACCTTTTGGCCTGAATCAATAAATTGGGCAGTACATGTGTTAAATCGATGCCCTACTCTTGTCGTCAGGAACAAGACACCTAAGGAGGCATAGAACAGACGCAAACCATCTGTGGATCATTTCAAAATTTTTGGATGCATTGGTCATGCTCACGTACCTGATAACAAAAGGGTGAAGCTCGATGCCAGGAGTTGTAAATGCATATTGCTTGGGGTAAGTGAGGAATCTAAGGCTTATCGATTGTTTGATCTTGTCTTATAGAAAATAATTATAAGCCGAGATGTTGTGTTTGAAGATGATCAACAATGAAGTTGGGATGACAATCACAAGGAAGTTATAGTGGCAGATCTCGAGTGGGATACTGATGAAGAAAATAGCACTCTAAGGGTGGTAAGTGATCCCGAGTCTGAAAGTAATGAAGTTATAGAAGAAACTGAAACTGAGTCTGATTACAATGGCTTGATGGTTGAAGAGGACAGTCAAATTAACGAAATCTCACCTCGCATGGGACGAACTCAAAGACCACCAATTTGGATGAGGGATTATGAAACAGGTCAGGGCTTATCTGATGAAGAAAATGATGGCATGGCTCACTTGGCATTATTCATTGATCAAGATCCTACAACCTTCGAAGATGCGATGAAGTCTGAGAAATGGAGACAAGCTATGAATCAGGAGATTCAAGCCATCGAGAAGAACAATATGTGGGAATTAATGAAGCTGCCACCAGGAGGAAAAACTATTGGAGTAAAGTGGGTGGATAAGTATAAAGCTCGACTAGTTGCTAAAGGTTACTGTTAACAATATGGGATCGACTATGCAGAGGTATTCGCATAATTACTCGTCTAGACACCATTCGAATGGTAATTTCTCTTGATGCGCAAAAGAACTAGGTAATCTATCAGCTTAATGTCAAGTCTGCATTTCTGCATGGGGAGATAGATGAAGAAGTGTTTGTTGATCAGCCACTCGGATATGAACAAAAGGGGCAGGAGTCAAAGGTGTATCGACTCAAAAAGGCTTTATATGGACTTAAGCAGGCCCCCCGAGCCTGGTATAGTCGTATATAGTCATATTTGATCAAGGAAGGATTCAACAAATGCCCTTATGGGCATACTTTGTTCATCAAGATAGCGGGGGGAGGTAAGATCTTGATAGTGTGCCTTTATGTTGATGATCTTATTTTCACTAGTAATGATGAAATAATGTTTGAACAATTTAAGAAGTCTATGATGTTTGAGTTCGACATGACTGACCTTGGAAAAATGAGATATTTCCTTGGTATTGAAGTAATACAAGGTTCTGATGGGATCTTATCGGTCAAAGAAAGTATGCTCAAGAGGTCTTTGAGAGGTTCAACATGGATCAGTGCAACCCAGTACTATATCCTGTGGTTCCTGGTTTCAAACTCATAAAGAATGAAGGAGGAATAGAAGTGGATAACACTGTTTACAAATAGATGGTAGGAAGCCTCATGTATCTAACAGCCACACGTCCCGATTTAATGTTCATTGTGAGTTTGATCAGTCGATACATGGAGTGTCCAACTGAGGCTCACTTGCAGGAAGCAAAAAGAGCTAATGTACGTTAAATGGACTGTTGATTTAGGGATACTCTACAAGAAGGGAATAAATGAGGAACTTATTGGGTACACCGATAGTGACTATGCAAGTGATCAAGATGATAGGAAGATCACCTTAGGTTATGTATTTATGATGAGTTCGGGTGTTTTTTTTGGTCCTCAAAGAAGCAGCCAGTAGTTACTTTATCCACTACTAAAGCAGAGTTCATAGCAGCAGCATCGAGTGCACGCCAAGTTGTTTGGTTAAGAAGGATCGTGAAGAGTATTAATTAGGAGCAATATAGTTAAACCTTGGTGTATTGCGATAATGTTTTTACTATCAAACTTTCAAGGAATCCTGTGATGCATCGTAGAAGCAAACATATTGATGTAAGGTTTCATTTCCTTCAAGACTTGGTCAAGAATGGAGTTTTAGAGTTGGTGCAATGTTCATCTCAAGAACAAGTTGCAGATGTCTTAACAAAACCACTAAAAGTCGATATGTTTCTGAAGATGTGAGATTTGCTGGGTGTTTGCAAGTTTCCAGGAGTAAACTGAATATCTGTGGTTCAGTTTAAGGGAGGATGTTGAAGTTGTTGAGTTTTCTAGCCGTTAACTGATAAGGTTTACTGCTAGGGTTCCTAGTTTTTAGGGTTGTTAATCACGTAGGAGTCCAATAATCCCTATACTTGAGGGACAAGTTGCATTTTCCTGTTTTGACGTAGTCTTTACCACGATTATAGGACCTATAAAATCATGGGCAGTTGCTTTCATTTCTATTCAAGTGTAAGGTTATTTAATAGCCATGATAATTGCTTTCCATCTAATAAGAATTCTCCCTGGTTTTTTGTAAGCTTTTGAACTTTGCATTACAGAAATTCTTTGCAAGTTTCTGGTTCTAACAAGAGGGTCAGTTGACAAAACAAACCCTAGCTAATATGCAGATATATATCAATTGTACTGAATAACAAGAAAACTATATGATGGTGATGTATCAAGCTCAAATATTAAAGGAAATCACTTTATCGAACTCTCTAATGTCGTTAGATTATTCATTACTATGCGGGAGAAATAACAATACCAAAGAAAATTTCACGTTGAATGAGTTGTCTGAAGGAATGATTCCTTCGTTTATAAACATTCATCATACCACTTCTAGAGGATTGTACAAGATAAGAAGATCTGGGATTACTCCTTAAACTTCGGTCGATATTCTGTTGCAAGTGGCGATAGACTTGGAGAGATGTTGAATCAACAAATTAGGGTAATGCATCAACTTGTGCAGATGGGCTTCCAACCTAGAGAACAGTTATTGTATGTTTGTAGCCTTCTATTTTTTTTTTTTAATACAATTTACTATTTTCCATCTTAATCCAACTATAATTTAACTTAATTGGTAAAATGTGGCCACGGGCACAGTGAAATTTCCCATAGCCTCTCTAGGCACAGAAGGAGTGAATAACTGTGGCTTGCCACTAGTTGACCTTAAATAAAAAAAATAAAAATAAATAAAAATAAAAGAAGAAGAGAGATTAGGAATATGAAACCCACCTCTTGTTAAACTTTAACTTTGCAGATTTTGGATTATCTAAAAAAAAACCAATCAAACTCAAATTAAGTATTTGTCATTTAGTATTATAGTCTAGTGTTATTTCATTCTACTTATAAGTTGGGGGGGGGGGGTGTTAGATTTAGTTTTCGTAGATGATGAGTTGGTCACCAAATTATTATCGTCAACCAACCTATTGTGTTTTTGTAGATTCAATTTTCGTAGATGACAAGCTTAACACCAAATATACATAATTGGTACTAAAAGAAAAAAAAGAAAAAAAAACCTAATACTAGTAATTATGATCTTCCAATGTAGAAAATTCTTTCTTAAATGAATTTAAAAGATGTCAAACTAATTCTTTAATCTGGATTTCACTAAAACAAAACATCTATTTGGATGATTTCTTCTTCCTTAAGGTACCCAAAATTCTTAACGTATTCGTTAAAACATCTATTACATACGCCGTCCGCTAGTTCTTTGCCATGCAATAGGATGGTAGTTGGAGATGGTGTACGTGGCAAGAATTTAAAACTGCATAAGGTTTATGACTCTAGAAGCTACCACAGCAGATCAAAACCACGTAACGGCGTAGACTGTGGTGTGACGTGGACGAACGTAAATTACAATTACGCTGTTGACGCGGTTTGGTCGATGGCTGCCGACGGGTTTGAGACGTATTGAGACAACACGTTTTGTCCCCCTTTCATTCCGTCGATCCAATTTTAGGGTTCAAAATTCAATCTATCTCTCTCTTTCTCTGCGATTCGATTTCTAGGGTTTCTGATTCTCTCTGTGATCAATCATGGCGAGCAACAACAGGGAGAATAATGTCCAGGAGGAATCGAACCCGCTTCTGGGCAAGCAATTCGAGGAGACCCAGAATGATACTGAGAAGCCCGCCAAGGCCTTGCCGGAGACTCAGTCGCCGGAGAAATCTCCCACGGAGATGGGGCATGTGAATGGCGGTGGTAATGGGTGCGCGTGGACCGCCGATGGGCTGCCGTTGGGGCACGGGAGCGTGATGGGTGAGCCCATGGGCCGGGCCCAGTGGGACTCCAGCCTCCTTGCCTGTCTTGGCCGCAATGATGAATTCTGTAGCAGCGATCTTGAAGTTTGTAAGTTTTTTCTTTTAGTTTTCTCGAATTAACGGTTTGGAATTGTGCAATGTTTGGATTTCTGTGTTGTATTGTAACCTCAGTAGCTTTGATTTCTTCGATTTTCAATGACATATTGGTTTAATTAGCTTTGATTTCTTCAATTTTCGATGTCAGATTGGTTTAATTGCCGTTGTGTATACGAAATTATGCTAAATTAGCTCAATAATTATCGCATGACATCTTTTCGATTAATTCTGCATTGCTATTTCTGTTTATTGGATTAGATATATACTATAATTAATGAAAATTTTAGAATTCAGTGGCTAGGTTCCTTGTGTTGAACGGTTTAAGCCACGCCTTTCTTGCTTAATAAAGAAGAGGGGGTTTTGCAAACTTTCTGGAATAGTTATGCATCTTCTTGATTACTATACGGACCCCAAGCGGTAGCATGAACCTGAATGGCCAGAATGTGTTCTTGGATGTACCATTCTGCAATTTGGTATTTGTTCTTGATGGATTACACTAGGAAATAGCTTTTTTTTTGTTTATTGTCTTGATGATTTTTCATCGATCATATGTCGTTACCTTGTTTTTTCTTTTTCTGTAATGGATACTCTTCAATTCTTATAGCTTAAGGTTTGTTGCTTAGCATTATATCAAAAACTGAAATTAATCTAGTCCCTAAATTTCAGAAAACATGAGTGGTTAATTAAAAGAAAGTGCTTGTTCAATATCTTTTGTTTGGGCCAAGACATTTAATTGAAGCAGGTAATGTGAAGAAACCTGTTAGTCAAGAAATCTCCAACTTATTTTCCCACCGGAAAATATAAAAATTGTGTGCCCACATGAAACACTAGGATAAAGGGTTGCTAATACTTGATAATAAGGGTTTGGGGCCATAAGATCATAGTATTCATAAATAAACTTTTCAGTGACCTCCTACGTGCTATGGACAATTTGCATGCTAACATTGATGTCATTTTGGTAGGTCTTCTTGGAAGTGTGGCTCCTTGTGTGTTGTATGGAAGTAATGCTGAGAGACTCGGATCTACTCCTGGGACATTTGCAAATCACTGTTTGCCTTACTCTGGTCTATATCTGATTGGAAACACCTTTTTCGGTTGGAACTTCCTTGCACCGTGGTTTTCATATCCTAGCCGTACTGCCATCCGCCGCAAGTTCAACCTAGAGGCAAGTTATATTTTCCCTTGCAAAATGTGTATGTAATTGTAGGTTAACTTTTGCTTATAATATAAACTTTTGCAATGCGTATGGGTTTTTTTGATCCAGTTATACTCTATTACCTTTGTTTTGTTTATGGCTTCGCAACGAATCTGATAATCATAACACAAAGTACGTTAGTTGTCCATCTCAAAGCATTACATAGAGAACAAATATATTGTTTTTTATAATCTTACCAGAGAATTCAGGAGTTAGTAAATGTGTGATTTTTATGATATTTTGGTGATGAGCAGGGAAGTTGTGAGGCACTTAATAGGTCATGTGGCTGCTGCGGAAGCTTTGTGGATGATGAGCAACAACAGGAACAGTGTGAGACTGCCTGTGATTTTGCAACTCATGTGTTCTGCCATCCATGTGCTCTATGCCAGGAAGGTCGTGAGATCCGTCGCAGGCTGCCTCATCCTGGTTTCAATGCGCAGCCAGTTCTGGTTATGATTCCTCCTGAGGAGCAGGGCATGGGCCGTGGAGCTTGAGAATTGAAAGCTTGTCCTTCCGGGACATTGGATGTTCGTACTTTGTATACGTAAGCGTGTTTTGATATCTGGAACTGTTGTTAACTGCATCGAGTTATCTGAACCGAACCACATCTTTTACTTTGGTTTTCGTAATCAAGTTTAAATAAGATAAAGATGAAAGTATAGACTTTTGTGTATATGTAACGTGTGATATCTGTGGACGTGCTTGTTCGTTGGATGCAGACTTTGATTGGAACTCCTTTTTACTGTTTGGATTCTAAAGGAAGCTATTTTTTTTTTTACCTACCTTGTGTGGTGTGATAATTAGTAAACGAAAACTTGAGTCGCCTCCGTAGCAACTGTCTGAATGCATTTCTTGCTCGCGAATTCATGGCAAAAACTCAAATGGGTATCCGTAGAATCCAAATGACCACAAGATTAAAAAGGTTTTTAACCCTTTTAGACAACTGTAATTTCTTTTACCGTGTGTTTGGATGATGGGAAAAAAAAAACAAAACAAAAAGGAAATCTTTGGGAGAGCTACTGGAGGTTGTCGAATGGTGACGGGGAGTGATGGTGAGCTGAATTGTTGTCGTCGTCGCCCGAGAGATTAGTAGCATTAACGAGGAGCTTGGGACTCAGTAGGGTGAAGACGACAACAATTCACAAAAGATAAAGTCTGCCCTTTCTTCTTGGCTAGCTGAAAGATTTAATGAGGAGCTCATAAATCAACCAAATATGAGTGTTCAGAGCTGGCTCCTCAGGTGTGCAAAAGGTGCCACCGCGTAGGCCCCCAAATTTTTATTACATGTGCATAGATGCCTGTAATATATATTTAAATGTACATGATAATTACAGTTCCAGCGCAAGTGGTTAAGAACCCCTACATGTCAGGGCTGGCCATGTGAGTGAGTGTTGGTGATTTGATGAAACCTGTGAAGAAACAAAGTGGTATAGACATCACAGAAACCAAGTCAGCATTTGATTGGTTTGAGTATAAGTCGACTCCTCATTGGAGTGAATCGCATTTCAATACTCATACCAAATGTGATATAGTAACAAGTTAAATGCTGCTATCTTGGAAGCAAAAGATAAGCCCATTCGGAGTTTGCTACAAAGCAACTACTCATACTTGATGCTTAGGATGGGTAATTGGGTATGGTTAAGAGAAACAGTTTGGAATATGCTTCCAAGCTCAATCTCAAAAGCCAATCTCAATTTCAAGTTACAACTCATGATGTTTGCTGCTTCTACATCACAAGCAAAATCTCACTCGGTCACAAACAAATTAGTTTTGTGTCCTTGATTTTCCAGTGAAAATGTTTACGAGGGAAATTGGAAGCTAAGTGGAAGTTCAAGGGAAAAATCAACAATTTACTCTAACAAGATATGAAGGAAAAGTTTAGGAGCAAACAAGTCCAAGTTCTGGATTACATCCTATCGTACGAAGAATTCTGCAATACAACCAAGCATTTGGTGGTTCCTTCCAAACATTTGGTAACAGATATCTTTCCAAGTTCTAACTATTCCTTCAACAAAGGAAAGGCTCAGTACAAATGGGAAATTGAAGAGATAAAACTGTTTTCAGTAACAGCATCTCACTCCCTGGTCTCTACGATGATACAGGGTTAACGTAACTTCCAACGTTCCAACTAAAGTTCAATCCCCTCGAGTATTAACGTAAATAAAGAAAAATACTTCTGAATCCCAAACACGTAAGGCGCTTGGAGAAACTTCTCAACACAACACTTGAAGACATGATGGAGAGCTGCAATAAAAAACCAAGTCTTTCTTATTTACTCTCCTGGAGCAGAGACGCCTTGCTTCAGCCTCTCCTTTTTCAGCTTCTTCTTGGACACTGGCTTCTTCTTCTTCGGGGGAAGAGTTCTCTGAGCATACACGTAAAGCGCGTAGTTTCCAACCAAGAAAAGCAGCAGCAGCCCAACAACAACAATCAACACTATCAATCCAGGGTTAAACCCTTTTGCATCCTGCACAATCACCACTGCAATTATATTTCGTGACAGATACTCATGCACAAACAGAGAAGATAAAACAAAATAGAGGGAAAATGTATACTACTGGAATCCACTGCTCAACATTTGCCTCAAGTAATCAACAGTCCCTAGCGACCACTGTAATTACTATTCATTCTCTCATTCAACCGGATATTTATAATCGCTTACCATATATGCTATAGAAGATGCAATAGCATCCAAGTTCCAGAATTAGGTTCACTTGAATTGAATTGTGTGATTTTGCAGGACATATCAAAATATGGTTCTGGGAACTGAACTTATGGAACCGGCCTATAGGGTTTTATCATTTTTATCATTTATTCCCTAATAGAATGTGAGAGATTACATTTTTATTAACCAGAAGCAGAAGATGAATTATTAGCAGGTTATCAAACCGAATACTCAGGGTACAAAAATGGTTTATTTTATGTCTACATAAAAAACTAGTGAAGATCACACTGGCTTAGTCCTGGTATTCCTTAAAAAAATTAAAAAACAAAGCGGTGTGTAATAAAATAGCTCAAAGAAATATAACAATTTTAAGACAGAGGCTAATTAGTAATGACCATAATCTCTGCCTGCTAGGAACCCATATTTTTGTAAGTTACTCTCTCTATTCCTTACAAATCCATATTAAATGCATAAATATATTATGCCTACAAACAAATTATAAGTGATTTGCAGGGAAAAATTACAAGTGTGAAGCTTATTTCACAGTTTCTTCGCTAATAAACAAAATCCAAACTAGAACAGAGCTTGTTTAAAGGACAGAATGAGATTCAATCCCAATAGGGTCTTAAATATGTGTAAATCAATTGGAAGAATTATTGACAAGCATGCATATATGAACCCACACAGGCTTTTTAGCCAAAATGGTCCCTGAGATTTTCATAACACATAACTTTGGTCCCTGAGATTTAAAATCAATGGAAGTGGTCCCTTGTCCACCATCCATTATTTTGGTCGTTCAGTTAAAAAAACTCCGTTAAGTGGTCCATGAACTTTTTAACGGAACGACCAAAATGATGGATAGTGGACAATCTCAGCAACCAAAGTTATGTGTTACGCAAATCTCAAGGACCAAAATTATGTGTTATGCAAATCTCATGGACCAAAGTTATGTGTTATACCCTCAACTTAACGTAGTTTTTTAATGGAAGGACCAAAATAATGGATGGTGGACAATCTCAGGAACCATTTCTATGGATTTTAAATCTCAGGACCAAAGTTATGTGTTATGCAAATCTCAGAGACTATTTTGACTAAAAAGCCACCCACCCACCTACAAACTTCATAGTGAAATAGAAAGTGACTCATAAAGGCCATGAAACATTAGGTCATGGTAGAAACCCAATGGTCAAATGGACTGGTGAGAGCTGTGAGACTGAAACTCATGGTTTGAGTTCCGATGGAGGAGATCAATACAATACCACCAAACCCATCCTCTGGGTAGTTCGCCAAATATAAATATGATGGATCGACGATAGACCTATTAGGCTATTACAGTTACATTAACGGACCAAAAACCCATTCTATATGAGTCGAAATATCATGCACATTGGTTCCACATAATTACATGCATTTGAAGCAAAAACGATTACCATCATTCGCTTAGAAAGACCAACATTTTATCAGCAACTCAATCGAAATATAACTGAAGCCCCAAATAAATAACAAAATTCATCAACAAGGAAATCAATCAATAAATTAACAAAATTCCTACAAAATTAAGGTGGCATTTGATTTGGCGGTTCTTAATTTACACCTAACACAACAAATCCAATAAAAACAGGTTTGTTTCAGAACGGTAACAAAATGAAATTTTAAAATCAATTATGAAAAAAAAAACCCAAAATCTCGATTTCATCCAAGTTTTAGAATACCAATTCTCAGATCACAAAAATCTTTCATCAAGAAATGTATATCTCTGTCCAAATCGACCAAAACACAAGTCCCAGACATTTAATATTCCACAAAATCTAAGCATGCATGCATACAGAATTTTCGATTAGCAGGACCTGAAAACAGCTGAAAATTTGAGAAATCTAAATCCAAATTCCACAAATGAAAAATCAAAATCTCTGAATAAATTGCAGGCGATATTGGGGTTTCTGAGAAATCATACCGGAGGAGGGACCTTGTCCTCGAACTGGTCAGCCATGGCCGTCCTGCAGCTCCGAGCCTGATAAACTTTGAGAGATCCGGCTCACTGTATCAAAATGTGGACCAGAGAGAGGAATCCAGAAGAAGTAAATACGAAGGGTGAGATCTGGTAACGTATGGAAACGGGGTCTGTGTGTAAATTGGAAAAATATGAGGTGTTTGGACCTATCAGCTACGGACAATTAGATTGACTAATTGTCACTGTCATTGCCAAACTGCCATAAATGGGTTCGGTTCAATTTTGGGGTTGAATGGGCTTGGAATTGAAGATATCAATCCAATAAATAAAAAAAGGGTTAATTGGGCTTCTATGAATTTGTTTTAAAAGGCCTATAAATTCGCCCCAAACATTAATCTGAATCTCGATTTTTCTCTATAAGTCCTATTCTCTCACTTAACACCCTAAGGGGGCATTTGTTGCGCCGGACTATCTCGTACTGGATTAGCTTCAAGGACTAAGCTGGACTGGCTTAGACTAGACTAAACTGGACTAACTTAATGAAGCGTTTGGTGCAGTATTGAACTAAGAAGCTGGATAATAACAAATTCTAATATTATATTATTTAATATATAAATTATTAATATTTTATTATGATCTTATCTTTTTCTCCATCTTTTCCTACCATTTCCGTCCCACTCTTTTCCTCTTCTTTCATCGTCCCACCCTCTCCCTCTTTTTTTCCTCTTAGACCTCTCAATTCATGTCTCTTTCTTATTCCTGGTCAAACTCCTTATTGATTCCAGTCTCTATTTCTCTATCCTCCCTTCCTCTTTAGCTATGCGTTGTTCGAACGAAACCTCACGGCTTCAATTTTTCCGACGAGTTACAGGTTTCCTGATGTGTTTTCCAGCCAACCCTCGTTAAATTGGATGAAGTTAGCACCGCCAAAAATTTCATCACCATCCCTGGACCGAGATCTTAGCTAAGCCCAAACAGGCCGAGACTTCCAGGCTATTTTCCGACCACATTCGACCACATTTTAGCTTCGATTCAAGTAAAATCGTAAATCTTGTCACTCCCAGCTTCAATTTGGTATATTTTATATGAAAGTTGGTTGTGAAATGGATCTGAAAGAGAGTCGGAAAGTTAATGATTAATCTAGGTGACCGGAGATGACGAGGAGTCTGTCGGAAGTGGTCATTGAGCATGACAAGGATGAGAAAGAGAGGATAGTCTTAGCTAGTCCCATGATTATTGGGGGGGTCTCGCTAAGACCTCTTAGTGAAGGGTTTTGTCCATGCTAGTCCCCTTTAGTCTCATTAATGTTAGTCTCAGCATGGAACAAACACAGTATTGGACTAATAGCTAGTCCAGTCCAGTCCAGTCCAACTTAGTGAGGGCAAACAAACGCCCCCTAAAACTACAAATATGTGTCACATGACTGACATCACTCAATTTCTTTTACTCCATTCACAAAAATGTCAAAGTGTGTTGGCCATATGCCAAATAGTAACTTTGTCATTTTACTAAACCTAAGTCTCTCTTTCACTAGAGCCATCGATAATTAACCTCGTTTCGTATTCCCAATGTCTAGTTCGGTCGTAAGTCTCATTACATGAAACTTCTATAGCATGATGGTTTATTATATATTTGGTAAACAAGGATAAGATAAATAAGAAATAAGACTCAGATCAACTACCCTTAGTGAAACTCACATTACTTGTCTATAGAGTATTTGAATAGTGATCTTAAATGCAGGACACTTACTTCTAGTTCCTTAGGTTTTAGGGCTAGTTTGGTATTGCTGTGCTTTAAAAAAAAAAAAACTACTTCTGCTGTGCTGTGAGAATAAGTAGCTGTGAAATAAAGCAGCAGAGTGTTTGGTAAACTTTTTTGTAAAAGTGCTTTTGGAAAAAAAATAAATAAAAAATAAAGTAGTATTATAGTGTTTGGTAAACTCTATGTAAAACATATGTGAAAAAAAAGCTGGTTTTTCAAAGCTGGGTTTTGCAACTTCTTGTTTTTGGCTTTTTTTCACCCAAAATTGTGAAAAAAAGCTGAAGCTGAATGTTTACCAAACACAAAAACAGCTCCCAACTTTTTTCAGAATCACCTCAGTACCAAACCAGGCCTTAGTAAATGCCAAAACGTCGAGAATCACTATAATTTCTAACAAACAAAATATGGGGTTAATACAAAACCCTACTTCCACTCCAAAACCTTGCAGACTCCAACCCGTTGTATTTGCTTCGACAACTGAAACCATGTCAGGTAAAGGATTGCAATTTAGGTTGGCGGGTTAGCATGGATTGGCATGGATATGACTTGTAGTATTGGACTGGATTATTTGGATGAGGCTTGACTGGATTCATGTCCATTGATTGGTACTCACCAGCCAGCAGGATTGGACTGGCTATGGTTATTATTATTTTGTTAAATTTTAAACTTTCAATGTTTTCAATATAAAACAAAAACTTTTAATAAATTTACTCAGAAAAAAAAAATTAAGGAAACAAAACTAAAAATAAAAAATAAAAGATTAAAAACAACAAAGAGGCACAAGGCTGGTCTTCCTAAAAAAATTAAAAGATTGAAAACAACAAAGAGGCACAAGGCTAGTCTTCCTCTTTGCAACAACACCATCAACGACCCGTGACCCACATCTTAAAAATCAGACCTCTAATTCAACAGAAGAAAGGAGATGAGAGAATTGCATGAAACGAATAGGTGAGCTCGCCCGAGTTGTCACCGAAGTTGACAAAGAACATTGGAAATTGCTGCCATAATAGAGAAAGAAGAGACGACGCCCACGAAGGCTGAGGGGATCAGCTTCATAACCCAAGGTTGTGTTATTGTCTCAAATACCAAACTCTAAATCCAATAAGTGATACAATTTATCTCATCAAACATGGGCTAGGTTCCAAGTTCAATATGAAAAAAAGATAACTTGCCCTAGCCAACCCACCAAACGACCGCTTAGGGTTTGGCTAGGGTTTAATTTGTAACTTGGGCACCTTGTTGGGATCCAATATGTCATATTAAGACCATCTTCAACTTTTGGTCTAAAACCTAAAATTTTTAACCTAGAAACAGCTTTTCTGCTCTAATCCTTTTGGCCTAAAATTTTAGCCTCAGATTATTAAAGAATGAATTTAGACTATTGTTTTTTTCTTAAAGTAACTTTTTTAAAATAAAAAATTATGTAGACTATCCTAATTTAATTTAATGAACATTTTAACCTAAAAATATTTAGATTTTGACAAATACTAAAAAATTACTAACCGACACCATGAAACTCGTTAAACACTATAAAAAAAATATGAAACAAATGAAAGATTGATTTTTTTTAATTATTTTAGCTATTAGATTTAAATTTGGACAGGTATTTATTATTTTTTTTTTTTACTGTTGAATTTCATCAAATTAGATCTCAACTGTTTATAAATATAAAACCAAATAAAATATACGTATATGGTGGGTCAGCCCTACTAATCCTGGGCTAAATTTGGCTTCCATTTGAGTTTTAGGTTTTAGGCCACATTTTAGCCTTATGTTGGGTCGAGTATTTTTGTTTTGGGGAAGGGGGGTGGGTGTGGTGTGGGAATAGAAGTGGAAATCTGCCCAGGGTTGGAGAAGGCCTAAAGTCAACATACCTAAAAGCTCTTTAGAACCCCTCTTTACAAAGCAAGTTTTGTAAGGACCATGTTTTATCCATGAATTCTTAACATACCTTAAACTCTTGTAATTAATATAATATCTCAGTTGCATCCTGTATAATGAGATAAGTGTTATGGATTTAAACAGTGCAGAATCTGTTCGTTAGATAGTTGTCACGTAGTGTCAACGATTGTAAAAAAATCTCACCAAAAATTAGGCATGATGGCACGTGATTCATAGGTTGTATTATCCAAATCTTTCCCATCATCTACAAATCACTTACCAAACTCAATATATTCTTAAACCTTAAGGATGACAAACATAGTAGGGAATTAACGGGCCCAAATCCTTCCCATCATATTTACAATCACTCCTACTACCCCACGGAAATTTCAAATCAAGTGTCAAAGTGGTTAAGAATGCTATGTCCTCAAGGCGTCATAATGACTTATCTTTCTGGTAAGTCTGTCCTCTGTGTTAGGCCCATTTCAGTTGGCTGCCACAGGCCCACAAACCTACCTGGCATTTTGATTTTGCAATCTTCTCATTTAGACATTTATTCTGCTTTTTCGACTCTCCTTCTCACCATACAATATTAGACGATAATTCGATCCATTTATTTTCTAGGTCATCATTAAAAGATCATTTTTTTTTAAAATAAACTGAATCTGAAATCGATTGTATAACACTTATTCAATAAACAGACGAATCATATTTTTCATTTAAACTCTTAAATCTTAAAAATGCTAAATGAACTGTTAAGCGATTTTATACTTGATTATTTTTTTCAGATTTGATCCTTAAAAGGTGACTTAGAAATTAGATAACTCTAATCATCAAACAACATTACATGATGAAAATGGAAACCAAGAAAATAAAATAAAAAGATTTGAATGTGAAAGTTGCTAACACCCCTTTTCTCTTAAATCAATGTACCTAATTACGCACTTTTCAAGTATTTTAGTTCCATTATTTAGTGCAGACAAGATTCTAAATTACGCATGTCAATGAACCTTACGTAGAGTCCCCGTCCAAAAAGAAAATGGTCATATATATGAATGGTCGGTACAACCGTACAAGGCACACTTCACTTTATCTCAGATTTTGGGCTTTCTGAAAAAATAAGAGTTGTAACCATATGTATTGGCAAGTGGTTTTTTAATACAAATGGTTTTTTACTTCAATGATGAAAATGAGTTGAGTCTTACATAACGATAAGAGTTCGAATTCCTTCGGTAATTAATCTAACATCTAAGCTAATAAAATCTATTATTTTTGACCAAAAAAAAAAAAACTATTTGTATTTTTATCCAATTTGTGAATGCCACTTCAGCAAATAGGGTTTGGCATTGTCCTCCGTTCTGTAAATTCACAACAACCAAAATAATAATAGTAATAATAATAATAAAATCCATCACTTTGAGCTACAAATCTTAGTTATCTGCGTTTTCTGCATCTAAAGGCACTTGGTAATTGGTATATTCGTGAACAATTGAGGGAGTTTAAAAATAGAAAATAAAATAATA